GAGTCCCAGGTAAGAAGAGGCAGGGCCAAATGGCGAGCGAATTATGTTGTATGAGTGTGGGGGGAGCGGGCTAAAGTCCGAGAGATCGTTGCGGGGCGATACATAAAATTTGAATGCGTTTTGCATACATTAACCCACTGTAGTCGTAGTCGTAGCCCCTAGGGGTGACCATTGGGTATCGTCTCCACGACTCTAGAGGTAACGGTCATCGGTGGGACGGCGACCAGAAAATGTGTTTATTAAATTTTATGATTATTGGCCTGCAATTGAGCTGCTCGCCTTGGGAATGTGTCGCTGTATCGTTCCCAGTTCGCAGTTCCCTGGTTCCGGACTGCGTTTCGTTTGTGAAATTGAAATTTTATGCGCACAAGACCCATTCCAATCCATTCCATCAAAGAATGGGATGGAATTGTCTAGAAATGGGCTGAAATTCTCACGCGTAACTGGAGCATTTGGTGGCTGTATCGGTATCTGTGTCTGTATCTGTACGAGTATCTCCCCATTGGAGTCGCTTACCATTTGTGTTGCTAATTCAATTTACGTTTCTGAAATGTTAATTAACTGGAGAGGTTCTCTGTGCTCTGCACGGTGCTGACTTTGGGGTTTCTCCTTTTGGCTGTTATTTTTTGGGTGTTTTCTTTGGGGCTTACACATGTTCTGGTCTTGTTTTGTATCTGCCTAAAGTGCCACAAATTGAAAGTCATTAAGATGTTATGGGGGAGACCCATACCGGGGCACGTTCTCACACAACACAAAGAGAGGGGGAGAGACGCTCTGACATACATCAATCAGTGGATGGATGGATGGCTGGCTGGCTAGTTGGCAATCTCTCATTACGAATGCACAAGTTGACTTTAAAGTTGAAACAGATTGTGTTGGTCTAGTTCTTAAAGATCCAGCGGAGGAGACATCTGCAGCTCGGTGTGGCCTCACCTATTGGAAAACTAATTAGAGGCAAAACTCAGTGACGGGGCGTGGTGGTGGTGGTGGTGGTGGTGGCTGTGGGTACACATCGGTGGACAATTTCAACGTTCTTCAAATTGGCAACTAAGTAAACTTGAAGGCTGACTACGGAGAGCAGGTCCGGTACGGTACACGCCCATTTGTCAGAGGAAGAGGCAGGGGGGGGGGGGGCTTTGTTGTGGCTGCTTCGTTATGCAAATTTGTGTTAGAGAGGACAAAAAAAAACAGAAGTAACGACGACAAAACAAAAGACAGAAATGAAAATTTTGAGCTATATAGTAAATATAGCATTGTATATATATGAAGCAAATGCAAATTGTATATAAAGAAATGCCCAAAAAAGACAAATAACAGAACAAATTTAAGCGAACGTCGCGGATTTCTTCATCTTTGTTTTTTTCTCCGTCTCCGTGTTCTCTTTTTGGAATAAATAATAAACGTAAACGAATTAAAAACGTTGCCCAAACGAACTGTGGTCCTCGGTTTCCAGTTGCCAGTTGGAATGGGTATGGGGATGGAAGGAGCTCAAGGAGCTGTCCGCTTTTCGATATCTCTTGGTAGTTCCTTTTGGATTGGGGCTGTGGCTGTGGCTGTGGCTATGGATGGCACTGTCACTGTCCTTTGGTTTTTGTTTACTTAAAACCAAGTTGATGCGGCTTTCAATTAGTTTTAATTGAAATTCCGATTTGCTCAAGTAAAAGCAATTTGATTTTTGTCTTTAATTAAAGTTTTACCAACCATTGAATGGAGGATTTTTGAGATGGGAAAATTGTGATTAAGTTGATCGGAGAATTAAGTTTTGAGAGGATTAAGTATTTAATGTGTGGATTTATCAGCTCGCCAATGCAGCAGATCCTTGTACATAGTTTAATGCTAAGAACTTCCTTGGGTCTACTCTTCCCAAGCTTCGAGAGAGAAACACTGCAACAGTGTATTTCTTCTTCTATAAAAATGCCACTTTCTTTTCAGTTTGATTGAGTTATTTCCAAGTTATTCGAAAGCCTGGCCAACAAACCAGTTGCCTGCCATATCTATCCATAGATATAAATACATATATGTACATATCTACGGGATATTGGCGCCCATCCTTCAGCTGGCATTAAAAGAACATTTTATTCAATTGCGGCCAACGGACGAAAACAAATAAAATGTATTTTTTCTGTATTTTTTGGTCACTTTGCGGATAGAGAAGAGAATAAAATAAAATGAAATGATGCGTTGAGAGCCGAAGCCCGCAGCTACTTTTCCTCCCAAAAAAAAATAAGCAGAACGGGGCGGGGTTCGGGTTCGGGCCATGTGTGTGGTTGGCCAAAGGATGGACAGTAAAGTGGCGCTGCGAGGGTGGTGGGTGCTGCATCAGTGGGTGGGGGTTGGGATAACGTTTTTGGTTCAATAGACAACGCACACACACACACACACTCGCACATTCGCAGAGGTCCTGGGGTCCGGGGCCATTTGATGATTTTTGCGTCACCGTTGGTCAAAATCATTTCGAGCGCAAGCAACTGGAAACTGTATAAAAATAATGAAATGAGAGAGGCAGAGATGTTGAAAAGACAGTAGAGAGAGAGAGAGATAGAGAGAGAGAGAAAATGCGGGAAAGGGAACAAGACAGATAGGGATAGAAAAAGAAAAAGAGAGAGCGAGAGCGAGACGAAACCAACTTGAAATAAATGGTCAAAAGAAATAAACAGTCCCATAAAGAATAATCATTCAGAATTCTGCTGAATTATGCATGAGGCAGACGGTCCGTGGTCCATGGTCCATGGTCCAGCAGCAGCAGCAGCATACTGGACGCCACTCCACAAGGAGGCAAGAAGCAGCCGCTCCATCAGCAGGGGGTGTGGCACTCACATATGCGAAAAACCTCCTACCATTCCGCATCTCCTCCGCCAACCTGCTCTCTCACTCCTATGAGAAGCATCATTTTCCTCTTTATTATCTGTTTGTTTAGTTGGGTGTACGGGCAGTATGGGTGTGTGCCGGATTTTTATCAGCCTTCTAAGCAGTTAGCAGTTAGAGCAGAATTCTACTTTCGATACCCAGGTATTTCAGGGGTGTATTGTTTTCCTGGATGCATTTACCATACATAAAGTATATGGTCATACCTGACTGTCTTTCAGCTATAAATCAACTTGATCGGATAATGATTAAAGCCAAAATGATAGCTATCTCTTTTAGTCAAATTTTACAAAGAATTTCTTAATATACTTCCCCCAGTAGAGGGCATCCTTCAGTCTAAATCCCTACTGTAGCTCTCCTTTTTGTTTTGGTTTTTTTTTTGGGAGGTGGATAAAAGGAGTTTTGGCGCTGGAGTTTGTATCTCCCGCGGAGCTGGACCTGGTGCCCCCCGCCTCCGACTGTTTGGTGGCGCTTGCCAAAAGTCAACCAACATTCGCATAATTTTCGATAAAGCTTTTCGCCAAATGAAATTCAAGTGGTTACACATGTCCCTGGCCCGGCCCCAAACCGCCGCCGCCTCGGGCAGCGATTTTCTCTATTCGCTTGGTCATTTTTCTTGGACAACCCCCCACGAAATACTCACTCTACTTCTGGCTCTGATTCTGGCTCATGCCTCAGTCATTCTCATTTCCACATTACGAGCACGAGTCCGAGTCCGAGTGCGAGTCTATGCCGCATCTGATTATCTCTGTTTTTGGTTGTTTGTTTGCTTAGTTCCCTTGTTGTTTATTCCTGATAATAAAAGGTAATGAAACAAACCTATATAGAAATCTATGCGGGCTATCTACTCACACAATCCCCATGAAAGTGAACCCATATCATAGCTTTCATATTTTCCACGGCAATTGCAAAATTTTCCTAACTCTAGCTCAGACCTTTTACAATACAATACCATCATAAATAAGGCGGTGATTTTTCTGGATGCCTCAGTTCGGTTCCACACTGGATCGGACGCTCTATATAGAGTGCAAAATTATCAGATTGATAGACCGCAACAGACGCTTATGTCTGCGGTCGAGTCGATTGCATCAGATCCGAATCGAAATCGTAATCGAAAATCTGTTGATCCCCACTAAAGTTCCAAGCTCTCAACTTTTCCAAGCCCATAAACACGTTGTTTATAAATATGTAGTGCATTGTATGTATTGTACGTGGAGAGGAACGACTATACTATTATTAGAACATTGATAGAGTCACTCAGTTGGCGACTGCAATTGGAAATTGTGATTAACGTGATCGTGCGATCGTGTGATCCAGCGATCCATCCATCCATTGGATCGATCAACCCTCGGTCCACTCCATTGGGGGTAGCGATAGCGTAGTCCCATTTAAATTGCAAAAGAAAAACATACGTAGGTACATTAATCTGTTATTGTTTACGTGAAATATACTCGCACTCGCACTCGTATTCGTGCTCGTATGTGGAAAAATCTTTCTAAAATGCGTCAATGAACGCATTTTCTTCTTGGCCATTGCTGATAAGCAACAAACATTTTACATAAATAAAGCATAGAAAGATAGATACACTTACATAATGTACATCCAGACAGCACTCTGTCTCCAAGGGGGGGGACTTCAACTTTGATCTGGACGTGCATGTGCCGATTCAGCGATTTCGGTAGACCCCTGGCACCTGATAAGCGCCTCCAGTCGGTCTGATTATAGCGATTAAGTGACTCGTGATCAATCCCCGAATAGATGCTTTGCCAAGCAAATAATTTTTAGATTCTGCTAAGGCTAGACAACAAGACATCAAGCGGTCATTGAATCATCAGAGAAACGTGAGTATAATTCGTGTTTATTTGGCACATTTCGAGTGTATTCGCACCGTATCGAATTCGGTATTCGTCGGTGAAGAATGCGTATCTGGCATGTGGTTCTTGCCGCATCGATTGCATTCCCAGCAGCAGCAGCAGTGGCTCGCCTCCCTCCCCCAGCAATTTCCATCGTTGCGACGACTGATAAGTGTATCAGCTGACTGGGGTACATACGTTCGTGCATCTGTACGTGTATCTGTATCTGTAAGTATGATGAACGGAGGTTTAATTAGGCGCGGCTGTAACATGAACATTCATAATTCCACTGGCATTCAATCAATGCAGTCGTGAATAAACCCCGAGTGATCCCCCATCGATCGATCGAGTGTCTCAATTCTCAGTAAAAATAATAATACACAACAAAAAACCGAATAATTAATCTAAAAATAAAGTCCAAACATGGCGCAAAGTGATGATATAAATTGCTGTGCCAATTTGAAGAAAGGTAAGCATTTAAATCTATTTATAAATGCTCGATGCAAAGGTTAATTATTGTGTTATTTCTCATAGATGAAAGCTGCTGTCAAGTGGCAAAGCAAAAGCCTGTAAAGACTCAATCTGCAAAGATGTTTCCCGACAAGATCTACAAATCCGTGCAGGCCAAGGGTGTGGATGCCACGGGCATGACCTGCGAGTGTGGAGTGTTTGGTGCCATCGCCTGCGGGGTTTATCCAACACAGGTGCGGACAAAACTTCTCTTGTGATTGTTTTTCCCAATCTATTACTGTATTAAAAGTGCTCTAGAATAATCTGTAGTCAGAGAATGCAAGTAATCCTCAGCCGCGAGAGATCGCTATCAGTTCAGAGACATAAATTCGATTATCAAAGACAATTCTTAGTTAATGAAAGCCACAATCCACGATCAACGATCCACTATCCACACCTTAGTTTTCGATTTCACCCATGATGATTTATGGATCACCTAAGATCACAATCTCCGCTGTCATATGCAGATCTCATGTTACAAATAGCGCCAGACGCCTGTATGTAAATGTCTTGCAAGTAGGTCAATAGTGAGCCTGCTTCTCCGCCTCCGCCTCCCTCTGCCACTCCATTCTCGGATTTGCCCTGAAATCTGAATCGGAGTCTCTAACGAGGCTATGGCGAACGCCTAGTGTCTGTAGATGACGTCAATGAAATCGCATCCACGCGTTTTGTTGCGGTTTTAATCAGTTGCCGATGTCGATGTCATCGTCATAATCATCAACATAGCTGTTGTTGTTGCTGTTGTTGTTGTTGCTGTTCATGGTAAACAAATGGAAAATAACAGGAACATAAGAACACACACACACACAATCGGGAACGGGGATCACATTATCGGTTATTCTCCCTCCCGATCGATCATCCATCGATCAACGATCGTTTGCTTAATTCTGTATTCTGGATTTTTCCTGTATTTATTTTCAGCTGGATATTGCACAGATGATCTGCCTGGGACTGGTGGCCCTGCAGCATCGCGGCCAGGAGTCGGCGGGCATTGTGACGAGTCAGGGAAAACTGACCAAGAACTTCACCGTACACAAGGGCATGGGCATGATCAATAATCTCTTCAACGATGAGGCGATCCGTAAGCTGAAGGGAAACCTGGGCATCGGCCACACCCGCTACTCCACCAGCGCCGCCTCGGAGGTGGTCAACTGTCAGCCCTTTGTGGTGCACACGGCGCACGGCGCCCTGGCCATTGCCCACAACGGGGAGCTCGTCAACTGCGAGTCCCTGCGCAGGGAGGTCCTTGAGCGGGGCGTTGGCCTGTCCACACACAGCGACAGCGAGCTGATCGCCCAGTCCCTGTGCTGTGCCCCCGAGGATGTGTCCGAGCACGATGGCCCCAATTGGCCCGCCCGCATCCGCCACTTCATGACCCTGGCCCCGCTCTCCTACTCCCTGGTGGTGATGCACAAGGACAAGATCTACGCGGTGCGCGATTCGTATGGCAATCGACCGCTGTGTTTGGGCAAGATCGTGCCCGTGGATGCGGGACATGCGAACATCGAGGATAAGCTGGCCGAGGGCTGGGTGGTGTCGAGCGAAAGCTGTGGCTTCCTCTCCATCGGAGCACGCTATGTGCGCGAGGTGGAGCCCGGCGAGATCATCGAGCTCTCGCGGAACGGCTACCGCACTGTGGACATCGTGGAGCGGCCCGACTACAAGCGCATGGCCTTCTGCATCTTCGAGTACGTGTACTTTGCCCGCAGCGATTCCATGTTCGAGGGCCAAATGGTTTACTCCGCCCGCCTGCAGTGCGGCCGCCAGTTGGCTCGGGAATCACCGGTGGACGCGGATTTGGTCAGCTCTGTGCCCGAGTCGGGCACGGCGGCGGCCCATGGCTATGCCCGAGAGTCGGGTCTGCCCTTTGGCGAGGTGCTCTGTAAGAACCGCTACGTGGGACGCACCTTCATTCAGCCATCCAACAGATTGCGGCAGCTGGGAGTCGCCAAGAAGTTTGGAGCCCTCGCCCAGAATGTGGAGGGAAAGCGCATCACGCTCGTGGATGACTCCATTGTGAGGGGCAACACCATTGGACCCATCATCAAGCTGCTGCGCGATGCGGGGGCCACGGAGGTGCACATCCGCATCGCCAGTCCCCCGCTGCAGTATCCCTGCTACATGGGCATCAACATACCCACAAGGGAGGAGCTGATCGCCAACAAACTGAGCCCCGATCAGCTGGCGGATCATGTAGGCGCCGACAGTCTGGCGTATCTCAGCGTTGAGGGACTCGTGCGGGCCGTTCAGATGAACAAGACCCATGTGAATCCCATCAAGGCGGGTTACTGCACGGCCTGTCTCACGGGCGAGTATCCCGGCGGACTGCCCGAAGAGCTTAGCTGGTAGATGGACACTCCCCACGTAGCCCTAATCATAGTTCTTAGCTCAAGTGTACATATTAATAAATATACGTTTAATTTTGGGTCTTACCCCACCCCACCCGCCACCAAAGAACACACACATTCTAAATGCTAATGGCGACCCATCAACGTCTGATTATTGCCAAAAACTGTCTAATGCCATAACTTCAATTCATTTCAATTTATATTTCCAAGCTCCTCTTTGTTTGCCATGGGTGAATGGGGGCACGGAAACGTCTCCCGGTTCCGGTTATAGCCAGGCAAGACTCTCCACGGATATGGCCCTCATATCATACAATATGGTAATCGTGTTTGCTTTTTTCGCCATGTCTCTGTCTCTCTTTCCGGCTGGTGCCTCCGCCCAGCCCAGTCACTGCTTCTCTCTCTTTGGTTTCTCCATTGGGGCGTTGCAATGTCTAAAGCGGGGCGTTTAGGGCGTTTAATCCTGCGGAAGATGTCCTTGCGGTTATACGGGGGAGTTGCTCTTCCGCTCCTCCTCCCTCTCGTATATAAGAAATTTTTCTTTCTTTTTTTTTTTTATGACTCGCCGGGTACTGGAGTCAACAATGTCATCATTATTCTTGAATATTGTGTTGTATTTTTGCAAACAATTTCGCTAAGCTGCGCGGCATTGGCGAAAGTATGGCAAGGGTGGCAGAGATGAGGGGGTGGTATTAGAGGATGGCATGGCTCGCAAGTGCCGAAGGAAGGGGCAGAGGCAGAGGCGAGGACATAAGAGAAGAAAATAATATGCGCCGTCATTGTAGCTCGCTTGATTAATTCTTTGTGTAGGGTATCCATGGAAGAGGAGCGGCATTCTGGTGGGTTAAAAGGAACTTTAGGGAGCAATTTCATACCCAAATGGTTATAGAAAGAGCTGATCGATGAAAGATATATATTTGGAAAGAAACTCTCTGAAGAAAGTGATCAAATGTGGAAGTATGAGAAGTTCCTCTGTTACCCGAATAAAAGTGGCAACTTCCTACAGATAGTTTTCCCTTCTTTCAGCAGTTTTTTTTCCTCCTCGTTGTAGCGCATCATCGTAGTCCCCATCAGCCCCAAACCACATTGAAATCTCTCCCATGACTCCAATCCCTGGAGCCCATTCCATGCCCCCATCCCGAAGTGGCTACATAAAAGAAACGACTTCTGGCAACATTGAAAACAGACGCTGGCACTTCTCTAACACACCATCGCCGCCTGTCGCTTGCCTTGCTGCCTGCTGCTTGCCGCCTCTTGCTACAAGGATATGAAAGAAGGACCAAGAAGGGTCCACGTCCACCCACCCATCCACACCCACACAACAGCTAAAAAAAATAGAAGAAATAATACTTATATAAGGAACAGTTTGCTTATGTGCGCCGTCGATCACAAGCACAAACACAGCCTGGGCACACTGCCACAGACAGTGACAACTAAGCAGCGTGCTACACTCCCCCTCCCACTGCCACTCCTACTCCACCACCAATCCAGGGCTCCATTCCGTTCGCTCGACTCTCCTCTCCTTCGTTGCGCCGCAAAACATGCTTTAAATTTTTTAATAACGCCAGGCTACAAGAGCGCTGACGCCCACGTCCGGACCCCGGGACTCTGCACTCCGGACCGGGGATCCGGCTTTCGTGCCCTGGCCCCGCCCTTGCCTACTGCCTGCTGCCACCCACACAAAGTCCTCTCTGCCGCTGCCGTCGTCATTTGCACAGAAGTTATGTAAATTAATGTTTACTTAAGTTCCCCATGTTATTCCTTCTTGGCATTTTTTTTTGTCTTTCGCCTTGCACTTTCCGAATGTTTCCTACTTCAAAAACAAAAGCAGACAGCGGCGGGTCCACCGATGGTGGGCTCAAGAGCTGAGGTGGGTTCTGTTCTGTCTCTGGTTCTGTGTTGAAGGTTACCGCCCGACAGTCCCAGCGCCAGCTACCAAATGAACGTATACAAAAAATTGCAATAAATTTGCGAGCCGCTTCTGCAATTTAATAAAAAGCATTCTGGGGTGGGGTGTGGCACAACAGACTAGAAGTAGAGATACGAAAGATGTAGGGGAGGAGAGTGAGGGAGGAAGGCATCATCATCATCCGGAGTATCAAGATTATTATTGAGTCAAATGGCTGAGTAAATATATGAGCCAAAATTATGGCAATGACATGCAAATGAAATGGCCAAGGATGATGGGGGGATGGGATGATTATGAAGCCATTATCCTGGCACTTTATTGAAATTGTCGCCAAAGAAATTTAATTTAAACATCACACACAGGAGAGACAGAGACCCCCACCCATCGAAGACAACATGGACATCCTTGACACTTGACACATGCAACAAGTGCGTCAGTGGCAGCCACACGAACAGACAAAAGGCAAACAAAGGGCTCAGACACCTTACACTTTTGCCATCTCCATGTCCTGCCACGTCCTGCTCCTTGACAGGCACGCAAAACGTGCCTGGCATGCAAGACATGGGCATGCGATGGCATGGCCCGAAGCGACAACGAATCAAATGTAATTTTCTGGCCAATAGAACACTTTGTGTGGGCTCTCGGTCCCTGAGCCACGAGCAACAGCAGCAGCAGCAGGTTGAATATCCTTCTTCAGTTCATTAGCAAATCAAACTTCCGTCTTGTACTGGAAGACATTCCCAGGCAGGCCGGCTGGCAGGCAGTCAGCAGCAAAAAGGGACATGGAATTTGCATTCCTTGAACCCCACTGAACTGACAAGAAAACTTCTTGTATGCTGGTAATTTGATTTAAGGGCTTTGGCTTGACCACATAGAACCCACAGCAACCATTTAAGTGGTCAACAGGGACCTCAACATATTGGTTAATAATTATCCAAAAGAACCCCAACTAAATCGGACTTTAAAGTGTGCTCTTCACAGTTAATTTTCCATTCCCCCAGAAAGAAATCTAATCAACTGGTCTCCGTCCTCACATTTCTGGTTAGCTTTGAAACTCTGAAATTTGCATAATATTTTTAGACAGCACCGAATAAAGTTTGGGGACTAGACGCCACAACATTTCCACAACTTTGCGTTAATTTTCTAAATATTTTCTAAAATTTTCAAATTGCATTTGGAGCACTGGAAACGTGGAGACGACGCTCTGACAATGATGCCGCAGGGCCAGTCCCAGGCAAAAGTTGCCGTGCTCCATGCCACTCAGTAATAACAACTGGTGAGAGGGAGTGAGGCGGCAGAGACCCCACCTTCTACCAGTTGAATTTTATAATTTAAAATTATGAACTAAAAATAATTTAATTTTAGTGGTTTGCACGCAGGTCCCCAACGAAGTAGTGTAGCTGATGGGTGGAATGGCTGGGGGGATGGCTGTGCAGGAAATTGAGTGCATTATACATATATATAATGTTGGTTATTGTACACTACAGCAAATACAACAAAAGCGCGTTGAGCTAATAAATATGCATGAAGAGTGTTGGAGTGTGTTTTGGGTCTGTGTGTGTGTGTGTGTGTGTGTGTGTGCACAAAAGAATGCAATTTCCCTCGTAGAAAAAAGGCTGCGGCGGATTGGGGCGGGTTTGTGGAGCCGCCTGCATTTGACATCGCGTGCTTTGTGGTGATTTTCCCGCTGCATTGGCCAATTCTGAAGAGGCAACAAAGATAATAACGATAATTAAAGCAAGCGGCAAACCAAATCTCTGATTTGAGTGACATGCAACAACCAAATCATTCACAGAGTGTGCGTCGTGCTGAGAGAGACAGATACGAATAGGAGTACGAGTGTGAGTACTCGCAAAAGAATGAATCCGCCATTTTGGGGGCTGTAACACTTCCGGCCATCGTTGTCACAATGTGCGACAATGCATGATGAAAGCTGCACTCTGATTTGTCTGCACTTCGAGAAATTTTAAAGCAAATTGGGAACGGATTCAAAGGTCTTGCAATGGCAATAAAGAATGTGGTATGTGGTACCCATATATAATGGGTAAAATGGTATAAACCTCATTAGAACATAGTAAAATACGTAAAAAGATTGTAAGGAATATTTTTTGTATCTCTAGCTTGGAAAACATAACTTTTAATGAAGATAGATTAAAAGTTATGTTTTCCAAGAGCTTTTTTCTTCAACCAAAATGTCATAATTAATCCATTACAGCCAGTGGTTTTTCCCCATGTGCATGGGAGGGCCAATTGGTTGGATGGATGATGGGTTTTTGGCTGATTGTTGGGTTGGCATGTACGTACATACATAGGTATTATTTTTTTTGTGTGTTCGTTGGGGCAGCACCTGGGCGACGACGACGACGACGAGGCCAACGAGTGCTGGCTGCATCTGTTGTGCTTCCCATTGCGTGTAAGTTCATTATGTTGCCAACATTTGTTGTTGCTGCTGTTCATTGTGTGCCTGATACTGCAACAACAGCAACAACAACAACAAATGCAACAACATTTACACCAACAGTACAACATCCGCAGTTGCAGTCGCAGCCGCAGCCGCAGTCTCCGTCTCAGTCGCAGTTATCTGGCAACCATTGCAAATTTCTACATGGTCGCTCAACTGAAAATTGTTTGTGCAGCTCTGTGTTTTTTTTTTTTTCGTTATTGTTGTTGTTTGTGTATATTTTTTACACATTTTTTATTCACATTGTTGTTGTTGTTTTTGTTGTAAGGCAACAATTTCCCGTTGCTTGAGTTCGTTTGGCTTGCAGAGCAGAGCAGAGGCAGAGGCAGATTATTTATTATTTTAATTAAATTATTTTAATCCAGAGAAGAACTGTAATCAATGCAAAGTAACCCGAGGGCTTATCAAATGATATGCTTAATTTAATTGCAGCCCATTAAAAACTGTTAACTAATTGCAGAAGCGTGTAATGAGATTAATGCATTCATGTGGGACGAAATAAAAGTTAAAAAATCGACCCATAAAATATATTCAGCATTTATAACTATTTAAAAAGTATGACCAACTATTCTGATTAACTATAGTAGCTCAAAATTGTCCTAAAACATAATTTCTGATTGTTCAAAGAATTAAAACCATTAAAAACTCATCCCGTAGCATCCCCCTTCATCCCCGGCTGCCATCGCATCTTCAGCGTCCGTCCGCCCCCGGACAGGCCTCGACGCATACTGCCAGAAAC